ATACGAAATCCCGTGTGTTTCCTGCCCCTCAACATATATTGGACAGACCAACAGAAGAATGAGTGTGCGCATCGAGGAACATAAAAATTCAGTACAAAAGAAAGAACACACATCATCATTAGTACAACACATAAATGCCACAGGACATAATATTAATTTTAATAACACAAAAACAGTTGCAAAAATAGAACATCTCAATGGCAGAATAATCAGAGAGGCCATTGAAATAGAGAAAAGACCATATTGTATGAATAAACGTGGTGACACTTCCCGTCTGCCTACTATTGGGAAACCTGCTCTCATAGGCAGACGAATCTTAACACAAAATATAAACCATAGATCAAAGATTCATCATAATGCCTGTGTTGCCACCATTTCCAGCATAACTTATCCATTAACCCACAACCAAGCATCAGCGCTTCCACCCAATCAAAACACAGCTACGTCATCAGCCAATCAGAATACAACAATACTGTCGACCAATCAGAATACACCTTTGCCTCTTTTCATAGAAAAACGTCAGTTACGATCACACAGTTTGCCCATAAACACCAAACCAAGAACTTCAGCCAGAAGATGACGAATGTGATTTCGTCGAAACGTCGCTACTACCCTTTTAGGGATATGTTTACAATTACACGGGAAGAAACCCGAGATATTAACTGTACACATACACACACACACACACACACACACACACACACACACACGATTAGAATGATGATGTGTGTAAAAATATTAACATAAAGATAAATCAATATTATGATGATATTATAATAATAATAATTATTATTATCAATAACACATGTTTAAGTGATTAAGTCTGTTTCTTTTATTTTTGAATGTAACTTTAAAAAGTTGTATAATTATAGTTGAAAGAGATATCGTGTTTCCCCGAAAATAAGACAGGGTCTTATTTTCTTTTGAACCCTGAAATAAGGGCTTGGCCTTATTATTGGGGGTCATATTATTAATCCTTTTAATCACAACATAATCATTTCATTGTTAGTATTAATTCCAGTATGGTCATCTTTATTTCTAAAGGTTTATCCCAGTATATAATCTTCATCTTAGTCATCCTCTTTTGGCTGTTAATCACAGCATAATTATTTTTATCTTTACTGTTATACCCAGTATAATTCTCTATATTTTGCTGTCAATCCCAGCATAATTATTTTTATCTTTACTGTTATACCCAGTATAATTCTCTATATTTTGCTGTCTATCTCAGCATAATCACCTTAGTTTGCTTCTTATCCCAGCATAATCACCCTTTTTTTATTTAATTTTACCATCCATCTATACATTACTTATTAATGTACAATCACATTGTCATTATCATCTTTGTAACAATTTAACATTGAGGCTTAGTTCTTACTCCAGCCACATCCTTACGTAAATTAATAAATTTCTGTTAATATATTTTATTCCTCTCATATTCTTACTTTCTTCTTTATTTCAGTTTTTTTATATATTATATCAAATTCTTCTCATAGTCCTATTCATTTTTATTTATCTATAGAAACCTCCTTTTTATTATTACTATCCATATATGCATTGCTTTATTTTTAATCGCATTGTTTCTATTTTCTTTTTTCCAACTGTATATATGTCATTCCTCATTTCCTTGTCTGTTAGCATATATTTCATTTCAGTTTCAATGTTCACAATTTAATTCTCCATATATCAATTTAGTTCTTTTTCTTACTTCTATTTCAAACAAATCACATCAATTTTCTTCTTTTGTTCCTGCACTTTAACTTCTTTTGTTCCTGCACCAATTAGTCCAATTGTAAGAGTTCCATCATATTTTCCCTTTTTTTTCCTCTCCAAAGTCAAATTGCCTGCAGACAAAGAAAAAACATCTCCACCGCCAAAATCCCATGGTTGTTATCTGTAGTATTCACAATGTTCCCAAACAAGAAGCAAGTTACAATGTTTCTTTTTAAACCAGAAGGTGTCCCTCTACAACCCACAATTTCCTTTAGTCATGCAAATTGCTATTTTGTTTCAATTATATAACATTCCAGCTTGATTCTCTCCTTCTTCTGTATTTTAAAGATAATAATTCTTTTTTATCTTCTTTTCTTTAAAAATCCAATTCAGCTTTAAACTTATTCAATTTTGAACCAAGTCTCAATGTTTATTTTTCCGATTTAGTCTATTCAAATATCAATTTTCAGTTGGGTCTTTTTCTTTTCTTTTAAAAATTTCATCTTAGAATCTTCTACGCCCCATAGCTCTGCAGCCGTTGTTTTAAGGCTAGGGGTCTTACAAATAAAAAAAAGCCATTACTCCAAATGTTGTTTCCAGCCTAGGTTGGTTGTCACTCACCCGGCTTCAAAAGGCATCACTCTTTTCTGCTTTCCTCCTGCACATCACTTGCCTGGTTTGTCCCAGCTTTGTGGCAGCCGTCATGGCTGCCGCCCCCCACCACCGACTCGCAGAGAGCTCCCTCCAATCTCCAAGGAACTTGCCTCTTGGTCATCCGGGGTGCCTTTCTTCCATCCCCATCCCTGCAGGACAGTTCCAGTCCAAAGACCCATCAACGGAGGTTCGGCAGTCGGGTTTTCACGGGGCTTGTCAGAGCCTGCTATTTCCCCGACTGTCTCGCCGCAACATCAAACTGGAAGTCTGTCTTATTCTCAATTTCTTTCTCTGCCTCTTACCAGTGGGATACTTCCCCATATTGGTTCCTTAATTCCTGCAGGAAGTCATCAATGGTTTCTAGTTCAGGAGCCCCCTCATTGTGAAGCTGGGTCACCCATTCTGACGCTTCCCCCTCCAGATTGTCAGTGAGGGTGGAGACAATTTCTCAGTCATCTTGGTAGCAGTCCCCATAGCAGTCGATGTGCGCCCACACTTGGTTTAGGAAGAAAGCCAATTTGTCCAGACGTCCATCAAACACCACTTGAAAGCATGGTGGGGCTTCTCCTCAGGGTTGCAGCGATGGTAGTTGCGAAACGGCCAGTGGCAGCAGCACAGCCAAAGATCCTGGTATGACTAGTGGTGCTGGGATCCACTGGGCCTGGGCCCGGACCAAGCCCTGTCCATGGTAATATGTCCAACCAGGGGGCATGTCCCTTGCCAGCAGCAGTTGTGGCTGACCTAGCAGGCTGGCTGGTCGTCTGTGGCTGGGCGGGCTCCACCAAGCTGATAGTGATTGCGGAGGGCTGATATCTTGGGTCACTGGAAGAGTTGACCAGTCCCTCCTGGATAGACTTGGTTGCATCCTGGGTTGCACCATATGCAGGGGTTGAGGCACCACACCCTGGATATACCAGTCTCCTTGCACAGGAAATGGGAAATTCAGTTGGTCCAAGACAGCTGTCAGGTGACCGGTATGCTGCTGCTGGCCGATGCTGCTGAGATGCATCTGTTCAAATCTTTCATGCAGCCCCTCCAGGGTTTGTCTGTGAGCCTGATACTTCCATTCTCCTGACTCATTTGAATCCAGGGGTCCCATTGACCTCCACTCCAGGATTGTTGTTCTCGCTTCCCTCATGGATGAGATTGGTCTCTCCCACATCTGTCCTGAGAGGCTAGTTTGGACTCCAGGTCCTCCTCCACTCAGTAAAGCTCTTCAGAAGTGGGCAGTTAGAATTGTTCCTACACCTGGGCCCCTAGTTGGTGTTTGACTTCAACCATGGCCACGGCCATTCACTTGGGCATCAAGAGGAATGTCAGGCTCTCCTTGATTCCCCTGAAGGCACCACTGATGCTTGGTGCTTCTCTGGTTTCTTCCTCCATCTTTCCCGTGTCTTTCCCACTGCCTGGGAGTGGCTGGAGCTCAGGACCCCAGACAGCAACTCCGGTTTAAAGCCTTAGAGTTTAGAGAACTGGTTTAATGTCAAGGTTCCAAGTAATACATCTCATTCAATAAGAACTCTGAGGCAGGCAAATTCCTCAAAGAAACTTTTATTGGGACGTGTCAAATTGGCATGTTCTTGGTAGAAAAGTGGCTCTAAGTTCCTGCAGGTTTTACACCCAATTAAAAATAAAAACTCCAGAGTCTCCAGTCACATGATCCAATCAGCATAAAGTCCAGTTGCTAGGTGACCTCAGTCTCCACCTTTCGAACACCTGCACCAATGTCCTTGATTTCCAGGGGAAAGAATTTTATTTAGGCTACAACACCTCTCTACACCCCCCTCCCTGGCCCCTTCACTCCAGGCTCTGTCAGCCCTGAAGCAGTGAAGAGAAACCTCTCTAGAAAAAACTACCAAAAAGGAAATGACCACAGTTTGGCCAACTTCAGGGTTTACAGGCACAACATAAGGAAGGAAAGGGAAGCAAGCTGTCAATAGTCCCTTACTCTCACCCAAAGTATGAGTCGAGCAGCCCAGCAAGGAGAGGTCAGGCAAAGGGAGGACTGGCAGGGAGGGGAGGGGCAAGGCTTCAGCCAGTTTGCCAAACTGAACAAATTGTTACTCACCGGTTCTAATGAACCGGTGCAAACCGGCTGAATCCCACCACTGCTTTCTTCCTATAATATCTAAGGATTGGGATTTATGGGACTGGAATATCTGAATACTCTTGCTATAGCCCAACAATATTTATAAGAGAGAACATTGGTCAGAATGCATAAATGAAACTCCATGAAAGTCATAGCACATAACTTTTAAATTATGCTTAAACATGAGTTTCTGGGATTAAAGCTATATTAGTGCATTTCCACGGTGATTTGATGCAGTCTAGAACTCCACAAATTGTTTCAAGTTTCAGAGATCTACTCTGGGAGAAAAAATAGAAACTGACAACTCTCAGATGACCTGTTTGATTTGCACCAGATTGCTCAAACACAGAACATAATTACATGTCTTTCACTGAGTCTCATTGCATAGTATTTTGATGCATTTTGATGGCAGTAGAAACCAGTAATTTGTCAATCAGTGAAATGAATAAGAAATATATTATTTTCCCATTGTACTCATATATAAAATACTAACTATTAAAACAAATCTCTGGATTTTTGATCTGGGAAAATGAAAATGTCATACCTTTCACCTGTATTTTCTTTCTTTTTCTTGTCCTTTCCTTTTGCTTTCTTGTTTTCAATCTCTTTTTGCTTTTTGTCTTTCTTTTCCTTCCCTTTTATTGTTTCCTCCTCTTTGTTTTTTTTGTCATCATTATATGCTTTCTGTTTTTTCTTTTTATTTGATTTCTTCCTCCTGGATACTGCTAGCTCTTCATTTTCATCATCAGTGTCTTTCTGATAACTCTCTTTTCTGTTTTTCTTGGCAATTTCCTTTATATTCTTTTTGGGGGCTACTTTTTCTTCTTCCTCTTCTTCTTCATACTCATAACCTGTGTTTTAAAAAGTGTTTTACTTTAAAAAAAAAACCTGAAGAGTTTGAAGTTATTGAGAATATTGCCTTTCACTAGACTAATGCAAACATTTCTTAAATGTAAAATAATGACTACGATCTTTTTAAAATACAGTCCTCTGCAAAATCCAGACTTACTGCTACATAGAACTTTTGAAATCAAAGGAATTTAAACTACTCATATGTCTGAATCCATCCCCCTTTTTTTGTGTAATATATAAATATAATAGTGATCCTTAGGCATTGATAATGACTTAAGAGTGATATCCTGAAATACATTAGATAATTATATAGATACATAAGATATATACACATTAGAAATACATATGTAATGCATAAGGAGAGAATAATATTTTATTTTGCTTTTTAAATTGGAGAAAAATAACTAAAAGTGAAAAAATATAATGGGCTATTATATTGAATAAATTTCCTGAAAAATTACAGCTCTATTCTTCTGCTTCTCTTTCTAATATCAATTTAAAAATTCACAAACTGAAAGATTAAAGTCAAAGTTGCCATATGCAAAAGTACAGATAGCTACTAGATGGCAGAAAAGGGATACTAAAATCTCAAATTTTTTGATTCCATCTTATATTTCATCAGATGAACTATAAGATGGTTTTTTGCAGCCTTTGTTCAGTGTGAGGAAAAACTAAATGTTACAGAGGTCTGTTGGTATCAGCTGCTCTTAGGAAATTGTCAGATTTCCCTAATGGACAGCGTTCAACAAAAGCTGTAAAAGAGTTGCAATAATTTTTTATTTCAGGAACCCTAGTAATCAATGATTAAACTAAAAGTTTTAATCTTTTACTTAAATCAATGATTTTGTAAATTAAGATTATTTTTTATGTCAGCCCTTAACAAAATACACAAGCAAAAGTTAAATTTTACATAAAGGCCAGATTTGTTTTTATCCAAGTGTGGAAACACAGTCATTTGAACAATGCTTAGGTGAGTGCAATTTATATGCATTGTATGCATTCTCAGGAAAATAAATTCTTAACATAAGCTTTCAAAAGTTAGCAGCTATTCATATTTTATTTACCTTCACTTTCTGTGTCACTCTCCATTTGTCCATCAATCTCCATCCCAACTGCAAAGCAAAAGCAAGCATCACATTTATTATCATCTTAATAGTACATTACTCTTAGGAGAAAAAGCAGCTTTTTCTTGTCATCTTTGGCCTGAACTGAATTTTAAAATGTATGTTCCGTTTTTTATTTTTCTGATATTTCTAAAAATCTGCACTTAATCAAGTTTCTCTGTATAGTGATACCAATACATTGTTTGAAAAATTGAACATGAAATTAGTGTCAATTAGTTTTCTTCTAAGATGCTAAATACAAGATACACTGACTTGCTAAATACTGGAGAGCATACAAACCGTCTTCCATAATTATCTGTAATTCACTTTTCTTCTTTACCATGATGGATGTTCCCTTTTAAAAACAACAGCTGCTTCAGATACTAGTTTTATCCACTACTTAAACTATGCCTTTTCTTATGCTTCTTTCTTTAGCTTCTTCTTATTATGCATAAAGCAAGTCTATTTGTGAATCTGAAACTATTGGTTTCATCTAACATTATTCTTGAATTGCACAGTTGCTTCAGCTTCCATGCTGCAGGCATAAGAATGATTCATGGTACCAATTCAGTTCAGTCCCATCCAACTACTTTGAGCTCTGATCTGTTTTCAACACAGAAAGCACCTGTTGGCATTGTATTGCACTACATTATTTAAACATGAAGGAAAGCCCTTTGGAGAGAACTTAGATGAAGACACCAGAGGTGGGTTCTACTTACCTTTACTACCGGTTCGCAATGGGACCATGCATGCACAGAAACTTCCTGATGACATCTGGGTCAGTGGGCGGAGCCTCCCGCTGGTTTTACTACCGGTTCTTGTGAACTGGTCTGAACCGGGGGCAACCCACCACTGGAATACACACATAGTGCCTTATTCTTTGAAAAACATGAGTCTAACTTTCTACATGGCTTTTGTTGTACTGGCAGCCCATGGGTCAGATGAGTCATGCCCAGGCATCGTGACACGGTGAGTTTGTTACCAGTGTTGTAGAGGATATGGGAGGTATTTTTAAAAGGTTGCTACTAATGTTTTTAATTTCCTTTCATCAGTTTAAAGAGTTTCCCCAACATGGTGGTGTATTTCAACTATCAAAATTTCCAATCAGGGTTGGTGGCTGTGTTGACTACAGATTCTATCTAGATATAGGTTTCAGATTTTTGAAAGTCATCAGTTCAAAGAACAATGGGATGTCAGCAACTGTCAGACATGAAAAACCACATCCCTGTGCAAAAAGTTCAATTATCTTTTTTATTGCCGAAGTTATAAACAGGAATCTTTAACTGACAGTTTGTACCTGGGTATAGTATAGTATAGCCTTTATTGTTATTGTACATCATGTATACAATGAAATTCGTTTTAGCCTCACTGGTGCAATCCATAACAAAAAATACAAGCAACATAAATAGTATAAAGAATAATCCCTATGCAAGTAATTAAGGGAGAAAAAGAAAAAGAAAAACTAGTCATATATTTCCATGTGTGCTTGGAGTGATTGCGTAAGACTAGATACGATTCAACTAGCATTCAGGGGGATTGGACTTCACCATCTTGTGTTTGCATAGGTATTCCAGACTAATTCCCCATTTGACTTTTTTCTCTCTCAGCCAGTCTCTTTCCTACAACAGTGTCAAAATAGCAGGTGTGATTGGCAGTTGAAACCTTGCTCCTTTTTCATAGATAGTGTTTCCATTATATATGGAATGGAGCTTGAATTTTCCTCCAAGTTTCATATATATCTAGCTTCTATATATATTATTAAAAAGATAATTCATATAAATGTTAAACAAAAGAGAAGCCAGGACATAGCCTTAATTTATTCCCTTAACTGTTACAATTGTGTTAAAGACCTTATGAATGTTAAATCTATTTAGAGCAGGACAGGTTTGATTGTTCTCCTTTCAAATGATGTCCTGCTTTTGTTCTTTTTTATATTTAATTTTAATAGAATTTTTAAAGAAGGTAAAAGCCAACATAAATTAATGTAAAGGAAGAAAAAAGAAAATAAAAAAAGCAAAAGATGCAAAAAAATTTAGAAAAAAATATAAGGAAGTGGCTTTCAATTTTCTTCTTTGTAGTTATAATTCAAATATATTTAAACCTCTTTTCTCAAGTTACACATATTACTATTCTTTCTATAATCCATCCCATCTAATCTTCTAAACCATAACAAATTCATTTTTTTCATTTTTACACAAAATCTGTAAGATGTTTCCAGTCAGCAATACATGTAGATAGTGTCTTTTCTTTAATCAAATAAGTTAAATTACCCATTTCAACAAAACCTTCACCAAATGTTGTTCCATAGTGGGTAATATTGAATCTTTCCATCTCTATCCATATAGTAATCTCATTGCTGTGATCATTTATTGAAATAATCTTCCATAGTTTTTTTCTGTTTGCCATTAACACTGAAAGGAAAAGTTCTAGTTTCAATTGAATATTGATCTTTAAAATCATTTGTACCATATATAAAGTGCCTTTATATATTCTAGATAATTTCTGTGGCATTGTGGTGGCATGGTGGTTAGAATGCAATATTGCAGGTTAATTCATTGCTTACTGCCAGGAGTTCGATTCTGACAGGCTCAAGATTGATTCAGCCTTCCATCATTCCAAGGTCAGTAAAATGGGGACCCAGATTGTTGGGGTCAGTAAATTGCTTAGAGAGGGCTATAAAGCACTCTGAAGCAATATATACCCTGTTTCCCGCAAAATAAGAAATCCCCTGATAATAAGCCCAATCGGGCTTTTGAACGCATGGCAATAAGGCCAAGCACTTATTTCAGGATTCAAAAAAATATAAGACAGGGTCTTATTTTCAGGGAAACATGGTAAATCTAAGTGCTATTACTATTGTTATTGGGCACCAATGATACATTATTTTGGAAAAATTCTCTGAGATCAATATAATACAATACAATGTAAATGTCAACTCTTTAAACCATACATTTTCCCATTGATCCATCTGTATATTATAATCGAAATTCTTAGTTCATTTTATCATATATTCTTTAAACTTTAAAAAGTTTAAATTTTTTTCAAAGTAGATAAGTGGCTGGTCTACTTTATTATTTTACTTTTAGAGTAATTGAGTAAAAATGAAGTAGAGTGATTTAGTGTTTTTCTTTTTGTTGTTGGTTTTGTTTTGTTTCTGTTTCCTGAATTTGCAGCATGGATGACATAAATTAGTAATGTGCAACTATGAACTTAAACAATTACTTATGTAAAAGCCAGACTAGCACAGAGAGCACGAACAATTCATAGAGCTTTAGCAATGCAACTGAATGCATTATATTGTGATGATGCCTGTTTGAGGGAGCTGCTTCTCAATTTGTCTTATTACTCTAAAAAAACAAACCTCAACCTCCAGGCATAAGTGCTTTCTCACATATTTTGTTTTTAGTTTTTAAATGCCTTTAGCTAGGTTATCAGATAAAGTGTAACTAAAAACTGGAAACAAAACCACCATGCTGCTTAATATTTAACCAGATAGCGTGGCCTTTCTTTTCTTCATTTCTCGTTAACTCAGGGCTTTACCTAATTAATCCTTGGGTTACATTGATTCATCTTATATTCTATATCAGTAATCCTTGCTTGAGAAAGGTTCCAATGCCAATATTTTGATTCCTGTCAAGATTAATTTTGGGGTAAGTGTATTAGGTTTTCGGTAATTGATGGTAGTAGTCTAGTAGAATTGATGGAGTTGAACAACAATGTAGGAGGAATCAGCCCTACTTCTGATTTGTATACTTCTGCTAAGTATTTGACTTATATTTCAATAGTGGTATAAGGAAATGATTTGATCAAGTAATGGCTCTTAATTATCTCAGAGTTCATCTACCAGTGCAAACAGAGCTCTTCAATGACTCATACTAAAATGGGTTTAGGTAGTCTACTTCCTCCAAGATCCTCCAAGATCTTCCAAAAGGGAAGATTGGAGATTGAATTAAAGCTAGTCATATTAAAAGGTTCCAATGAAGATTTATTAGCAAGAAGATGAGCCACTGCCTTATAACAAACTCTTGTCATAAAGAAACAGCCATTACATAGATCCATCCACATGGCCCCTCCTAAAGGCTTTAATGAACCAGCAAGGACATAAATCTAAAACACAGGTGAACATATCTACAGCATCAAAGACACTATCTCTTCAAGGCTAGCAGGTTCAAATTCTTCCCAAATAACACCAGATGACTATCCTCCAATAATACATCAATAATTCCTTCCATGTGACATCTCGGTGTTTTCTCCATGACTTCATCTTTTTGTTGTTGTTGTTTCTTCTGTCTTCATTTTCACCAAATCTATTACAGCATTTCTCCAAAAGTACAATATTCTAATTATACTATTTTCTTACATAACTATTAGTTTGCTTATCTATATCTCTTTTCTAACCAATGGTAAAATTGATCCCATATCTTAAAGTATTCTAAATCCTCTCTTTCTTTAATCATAAAATTAATCTATTCATTTAATCTATTCATTTCTGCACAGTCTAAATTTTTTAAAATTACTTCTACCAAAGGTATTTTCTCTGCTTTCCAGTTTTGTGCAAAAACAATCCTTGCAGCTGTTATTACATGTATAATCAAATAAATAGTTTCATTGCTAATTTTCTCTGGAAGGATACCCTGTAGGAACAGCTCTGATTTTAAATCAATACATTGTTGTGTCATTTCTTCCAATCATATCTTAATTTTATTCCAATAGTTTTTAGCTTCTGGACATGTCCACCACATATGATAATAAGATCTTGGTAACTGGTTACATTTCCAACATTTAGCTGATTTATCTTTAAACATTTTTGCCAGTTTCTCAGGGGGCATATACCATCTGTAAAACATTTTATATTTGTTTTCTTTATATGCAGTAGACATTGTTAGTTTGTAATTCCTTTCCCATAACTAAATCAATTGAATATCCAAAATTCTTTGCCCAAGCTATCATTGTTTCCTTTACTTGTTCTTCCTCTAACTCAATACCAAGTAAAAAATTATAAATTTTTAAAATTAATCTGTCCTCTGTTCCTGTGAGTATCCTATCCAACTCTGTCTTTTCTAAGTAAAAACCATGTAATTTAGCATCTTTTTCATATCTTATTTGTATTTGCATGTACATATACCAATCCATCTCAATTCCCTGTTCTTCCAGTTCTCGTTTCCCCTTCAATTCCCCCTTATCTGTTAATAACTCCTTGTATCTAACAATATTTATAAAATTAAAAATATTTGGATGTATTAAAGCTTCCATTGTTGATAACCATATTGGTATTTTCACATATTTTATTTATTTATTTATTTATTAGATTTCTATACCGCCCTACTCCCGAAGGACTCAGGGCGGTGAGATAAATACATAGTATTTATCTCTAATCTTCTCCCATACCAATAACAATGCGTTCCTTATATAATGTCTATGAAAGTACATATGTATCTTACTTCTACTATACCATAAGAATGCATGCCATCCCAATTGTAAATCATGACCTTCCAATGTTAATAGTCTTATATTTCTTAATTCAACCCATTCCTCATCCAAGTCAATGCTGCTGCCTGGTAATATAATTTCCAATTCGGCAGTCCAAATCCTCCACGTAGTCTTGTATCTTGTAACATTTTTATACTTATTCTTGCTTTTTCCCCTTGCCATATAAATTTCTTTATTATCTTATTAAGATGTTGAAAATAAGTCTTTTCAATTTTTATCAGTACTGTCTGGAATAGAAATAATAGTCTTGGTAATATGTTCATCTTTATTATTGCAACCCTTCCCATTAATGACAGTTAAAGGTTTTTCCACTTCTCCAAGTCTTTCTCAATTTGTTCTTTTAATTTTTAATAATTATCGTTGCACATGTTGACTTTAAGTATACTC